ATCTCCAACAAACCGTGGATATTGGTTTAGTTTTTGAACAAGATGAAGCACTTGGTCAGTGTGTGGTTGGATATGCTGATTCCGATTATGCTGGTGATTTGGATAAGCGTCGATCAACTACTGGGTATTTGTTTACTCTTGCTAAAGCCCCAATAAGTTGGAAGTCTACAATGCAATCTACGGTGGCCTTGTCTATTACAGAGGCAGAATACATGGCAGTTTCAGAGGCTGTAAAGGAAGCAATTTGGCTTAACGGGTTGATGGAAGACTTGGGAGTTGTTCAAAGTCACATTAGTCTCTATTGTGACAGTCAAAGCGCTATTCACTTAGCGAAAAATCAAGTCTACCATTCAAGGACTAAGCATATCGACGTGAGGTATCACTTTGTGTGGGAGATCTTTGAAGAAGGAAAGATTCTACTTCAGAAAATTGCGACATCAGAAAATCCTGCAGATATGATGACCAAGGTGGTAACAGTAATCAAGTTCAATAATTGTTTGATCTTGATTAACATCCTGAAAGTATGAACACCTTCGGGTGTGTGGCGCTTGTGAGCGCAATTAGAGGCACTACAAATTTGGGGAGTTGAAGAAGTTGAGTAGGCTTGGTAATTTCAAGCCAAGGTGGAGATTTGTTAGATTTGTCTAGAAATTAAGTTTACAAGTTGGAAATTTCATCTTGGTTGGTGGATAAACTTTGAACATGTGAATTTCATATTTGGTGGCTAACTTGTACACATTGGAAAATTCTTTGGTAGGTGGCCAAACTTTGAACATATTGTTCTTAAAACTCAACTATAAATAGGCCTAAGTATTTCCATTAGAAATAATCCCAAAAATAAGTTCTCTCTTCCTCTTGCATTCTCCATTCTCCCACTTTGGGAATTCTAAAGAATTCCATTTGTTGTAATATTGGCGATATAGTGAAGTTATCATCCGGTGTGGTGCCCGAGGAGTAAACGATATTCTCGTCGAACCTCGTAAATTTGGTGTGTTCTCTCTTTTATTGTTTTTTATTCGGTTTTTCCATTGTGTTTTAATATCCAATAGTTTGATAGATTTATCCGCTGTGTAACCTTTGGTGGTTTTGATCTTGACATTTTAGGTCAATTTTGAAACTACGTTCGTGTTGGAAATAACCCGATTTCCCCAACAGGATCAACTCTGTATCGTACTGGGCCGTATGTTTCCGTTCGAATTGGCCAGTATTAGAATGTCTTCAAGAATTGCCTTGTCTAGTTGAAGACCAATCCGCCTCTCCAAATCAGATTTGCAAGAGGTGGATGCTGGTGAGGCTATTGCGGTTTTCAGTAAACTGGAGAGAAATGCAATGGGAACCGGACTCTTCCTTGATTGAGTTGGTAGTAAGCTAACAATGACTTGAACGATTACCCTTTGCTTCTTTTGCAGCTCGAAATCCAACAGGCTCCCCTTTGCCAAGTGAGGCTCCCTGAGCCAAATCTTGAACTGAATCCTTACTATAATTTATCAAAATTTTGATGATCATATCCTGGTTTAGACCCTTTGATTTCACTGCTAATAAAACTCGTTGGAAGAAATCGAGACCAAGAACCGCCAGAGACTTTCCCCACCACTCAGATGGCGTTTCCGGCACCATTTTCAGAATACATTTCGATGGAAGTTGTGATCAAGTTTCACTAAGCCGGAAGTGAGCTGCTCTTTGCATGCGTTACTCGAGATTGCATTGATAAGCTTGTTAACAATGTTGATATCTTCAGATACATACAGGCAATAGGCTTTTGCAACAGCGAAGAACCGATATCCAGCTCGATATGTTTGGGAGTACAACATCCTTCAGATAAGCTTCTGTACGAGCTTCCAAGTTCTTCTCTGCAAATTCTCATGTCATTTCCAGGAAATTTGATGCACATCTTAACATTGCAACATTTGATTACGGAATCTCGACGTTGATCCCGTAGCAGAACTTTGCAGCTAGCTCGAATGCCTCTGGTCCACCCGGAATAGAAGAGAGACTCGTGTGAAATCTTTGCATCCTTCATATCGACCAACCGCCAATGGCTTCCTGATACTTCCACTCCAAGAAACCAGAGGGAACTGAAAAGAAAATTTTGTAACTGAATGACTAAAGCATCTATTACAATGGTGCAAAATCTAATGTTGCGAGTGTACTTAAAGGCATCATGATAACTAAACATTTGCTGCTAAAAGATGCGAAAACTGATTCATCTTACATTGTGAAGTGCAAAGCTCGATGCTCCGACCACAACAGTAAGATCACTTGTAACATCAGATATAGGGCTGCAAGATGGATAACTTTATTAAATGCTGCCGTATAGTCCAGAACAGAAATAAACCATGATTATCTGTGTTATGTAGGTGTGAAAGCAACCTTAAACTTGAAAGAAGTACTGTGCAAACAGCGCTAGTCAGAGGCACAGACATCAAGGAGGAAGAAGAAGAAGAAGAAAGTTACCATTCAGAGGCATGCCTGATACTGCTAGAATTTTGACGAAAACATCTCTTCCCAGACATGCTTGGTTTCATTTAAGCAACAGTAACAACAACAATTTTCTCCTCACAAACAAAAATTCCAGATTTCAGCCCCACACCAATGTGTTCTTTAGTACAGCATTTTAGCATGCCTCTCTCTCTCTCTCTCAGTCAGTTCAATGGTTTCATCATCCCATAGGGATCCCAAAGGCAGGAGTGAGGTAAAAGCCACATGAACTCATGCAGGATTAAAGGGCATCCATGACTTTGAAAATAATATATAATGCTTTTAATGAGTGCATAAAATAATGCGTGTTTAATCTGAAGTCAAGAACGTGTTGGAGACTTGGAGCGAGCTTCCACTATTTAACATGTTTTTTTTGTCTTTATTTGCGAGATTCCTGTTGGGTTTGCAGTGCATTTAGGGGGATGAAACCATTGCTTTTGAAAGTAATCAAAATAAAAAGACATTGCTTAATTCAACTCTAATACATCACATAACTACATTACTATAGATTTCTGCATATTATATATACATATAGCCTAGTTTTGTGCCCCGGCTAGAAGCCTAGGCCTTCACTATGACTATTACCATAACAACTATGCAATCTCCTGAATTTCTTGAATGTCAGATCGCATTCCTTCTGCTTTGCACAAACTTTTTTCTATCTTTTTTACCTTAAAAAGGGTCAAATTCTTTTATTAATCCTTCTACTATACAAAAATTATTGATCTAATCCCCATATTATAATTTGGCGATGTATAATCTATGTACTTTTCAAGTTTTGAAATTTTATTCTTTACTCAACAATAGCTATTAAATTTTTAATCCAAATTTTCAGTGTGGATCATTTCCTTCTTTTCTTTCTTGGTTTGGACTTGATAATGGTTTTTTTTATGGTTTCCTCCCCTTTGTTATACACGATTGTACTGAATCCCCACGACATGGGGAATACAATGTTTGCATAAAATTGTTCACATTATCTTAGTAGACAAGGCACATCATGAAGATGTTATATAGGTATCTCGTAACTAAAGTCTCTTTTTTTTTAATGTTTTTGTCCTTTTAAAACAAGCTCTGAATTATTTATGCTTTATCCTGGTGTCATGAGCAGCCCCCAACTTGAAAATTAAAATATTAGGAAATCAAACTATTAGACGGACACCGGGAGACAAACATGGAATGATCCTCGAGATTTGTTTCTGTTTATTATTGGCCCCCTTCAACCAATTCGCATTTATTGTTGATTGTCTTTGTCATCCGACTGTTACTTCCAAATAATTGTTCACATTGTCTTTGTCTTCAACCAATCAGCTCAGGCCGTAACTCAGAAGAAGTGAAAGGGGCAATGTAGCCACCAAAGATCCAACTGGCATATCAATGAGAGATGACACTGATGGACTGTATCTCATTGTTCCCACAGGATGATCGAATTTGCATGTGGAGCCAAACTTGCAGTGCCCATTCTAGCAGTAGAAAGAACAAGGCTGCACCCCTGCTTAAAGGAAAGAATCTAATTAAAATGACTATTAAACACTGAAGTATAATGTATTAGAATAGACACCACATCTCAATATTACGGAACTGTGAAGGTAATTCACTAGCTGTTCAAGATATAATAAAAACAAAGAGACGAGAATGTTCACATACAGGCCGTAAAGGAAGTCCCATTGGGCTGAGGATGCAATTTGTTCGCCGGGTCTCTCAGGAAATGTTTGATTGTTCTGGTGTTGAAGAAGATAGCTGCGTTAGTCCATAGAATGAAGTAGCTCCAACAGCAGGTTGCACACCAGGAGAGTGTACTAGTATCTGCAACAAGTTATAGCCAAGAACATCTTTTGGAATCCCATGGACTTATGCATTACCTTAATGCAACTATGCTGATCATCCTACCCAGTAGTACTCCAACCTGGTATAGGAACCATCCCACGGGAAAACAGAACCTGACCAAAATCCCCTTGTACATATGAATCAAGTAGGGTTGTAAATGAGACGAGACATATCGTGAACTACTCGATTTCAACTAGATCAAAACTCAACTTGAGTTCTTAACGAGCCGAAACGAGTTACTAAATACTGAAAAAACTCGCGGGCAACTCAAAAAAATAATATATATTAAACTTTTAATTTTTAAATTAATTATTAATAATATTAATATTTATATGTTATTTCATGTATTTAAGGTTCTTGTTCGAACTTAAGTTTGAGCTTGAATCAAACTCAACTTTAAACGAGCTAAGTTATAGAATATTTTAATTTAAGTTTTTTTGTAGTTGTTCGGTTGTACCTGGGTATACTATCTTACTGGAACAGCGGTACCTTGGTTTAAATGCTTTTATCATTTTAATTTCTTATTTAGGGAAAGCAAAGTTACAATAAAATATTATTATCAATAGGCAATATTTAAAATTTGCTTGAACTTTACATAATACTAATTTAAAACAATAAAAATAAAAGCAAAAGGCAAAAATTTGAATTCATCTCACCGTAACAATTAATATGCATGTATCATTTGCAAAAGAAAAGACCAAATGTCAAGCCAAATATCTAAGTGTGTTGGGATTCTCCTTCTCTCTCTCCAAGTAATCTCGCGTGATCAGATCTTCGATTCGTTTCTTTATGGCTTTAATATCAGGCTGCAAACATACATTACCACCACATCAGTGCTTGTACATGCAGACCAAAAATCCATCATCTAACTTATCTGATGTTTCTCTTAATTTACCTTGAACATGCGACTCAACTGCTCGACACACTCGGAAACCAATTGTTGGCGGCCCAAAACCTTCCTGCTCTTCATTATGCGTACAATTGCAGCTTCGATTGCATAACGACGATCTTTATCAACATCTTCAACAACTTTCTTCCTTTCGTCCAGTGGAGGGAGAGGAATCTACACAAGATGATTGACAAAGTTAAAATTTTATCCCAATAGATACAAAAAGCAACAATTAATAAAAAGAGGAATGCCAAAACCGTCCGCAACCTTAATTCTCCTCAACTTGTCGGTGAACATAGAGTTGAACTTAAAGGAGTCCCTCTGGGAGATGGTTTTTGTGTTTGGCTCTTTACTTAGAATCTTATACTTGGCACATGACAGTGAATGTAGTAATCTGACCAAGTCTTCATGGGTCAAGTTCGACTGAGCCATTATCTCTGAATAGCTCAGCCGATCAGAGGTATTGAAAAGCAGCAAGACAGCAACCTGTTTACATAGACAATTAGATTCCACAATCGAAGTTCACCACCAGAACTGAGCCAGAGATGGACAAAAATCCAAGCGAAATCACAATATTCTGATTTAGATATGTTAGAATACATATAGGCATTAATCAAGTTTAGAGATTCTGTTCACCTGATAAGTTGAAACAACCAGCTCAATAGTCAGTAACCTAATTTTAAAAAAGATATTCAATGGATTAATTTGATTTTAACTTAATAATGATCATGTAATCACCATTTTTACCTTGGTCCAGCTGGTTCCCTACTCCAATTAGCACCTGCAGTAGCCCCTCCACCACAACAAATTCCAGCAGCTTCCACCAACAACAGCTGGTCCTCTACAGCAGCCACACATACAAGGAGAAAGATAAAATCATCTTTGATTCTTCATGTAAACTGGGGCTATAAAAACTCCAGAACAAAATGTAAAATTTACACAGAAAAAAAATCAATAGAAATTGAGGAGAAATCTAGCAAAATACACAAAGAAAGTCGGAAATAAAACGTTCTACAAAGGTTATTTCTACATTTAATTTTTTTCCAGGTTATATTCTATTTTTATTTATTTTCAAAAAAAAAAAGTAAGTTAAATAGATAAATAAATAAAACAAAAAATAGGATAGTCGGAAGTTTTGGGTGTTCTGCGTGTAAAATAAGGAGGAAGAATATGAGTTTTGAGTTTATAAATTTTTTGGGTAAACCGTGCATCAGGTCCCTAGGCTTTGGAGTTCATTACTTTATTCACTAAAAATAGAGAAAATCATGAAATAATCCCTCTAATTTATGTGCATATTTACACTTTAGTTCCTAATTTCTCTATTTTTATTTTTATTTCGAAATTAGGTGCTATATTTTCATTTTTTATTTTAATCTCTATGTTTTACTTTATTATATATAATCCCTTAATTATTTTTTTACATGAATATATATATATATATATATAATTCATTATGATATTCCGATTAATTAATTATGGTTAAACCACATTATTATTATTTATATTTTATGATATTTCGAATTATATTATCATATTCTTATTAATATTTAAATATTAAAAAAATGACTGTCTTAAAGCAACTAGAAGTCTTTTTCTGATATTTTTAAATAATTGAATATCCTACTTTTATAAATTATATATATTAATTATTTTTAGAGAAATTTTTTATTAATATTTATTTATTTTTTAATATTAAGAAAATGACTGTCTTAAAGCAACTAGAAGTCTTTTTCTGATATTTCTAAGTAAATAAATATCTTATTTATAAAAATATACAAAATATATATTTATAAAAGTTAATATTTTCTTGGAATTATACTAATAATTTTGAAATCATATGATTATGAATTAAATATATTTTTGAATTCTTAAATTTTCAATAATAGAGACAATTTATAATTAATGTGTACCAATTTTGGGTGTTATAGGGGTGCTAATCATTCCCTAAACGTAACCGACCACGAATCCCTTTTTTCCTAAAATTTTTTGGTTATACGCAGATCAGTTTATCTTTTAAATTATGTTTTCTTAAAAACTATTTTAAAAAATTATTTTTAGGTATTTGACCTACCTAACCCAAAAAGGTCAATGGCGACTCCCAAAACTTTTTTTAAAATCAAAATCATTTATTCATTTTACTTTTTCCGCCAAGTAAAAATTCGTACCAGGGAAAAAACCGGTTACGACAGCTTGACGACTCACTGGGGAATGGTCAAGCTTTAAAATCAAATATAAATTGTCTCTATCAATTAGAAATTAAAAAATATTATTTAATTTATAATTCTTTTCTTTCAAATTTTTTATTATTTATGGTTTTCATAATATTTTTATATTATTAATGTTTTTTTTATTTTCAGATATTAAATTTCATTTTTTTTGTTTGTCAAAAGGTTTGAATATTTCTCCTCACACACAACACTTACATTGTATAACATAAGTTTTATAATCAAGCTTGTCCCTTTTAAGTGGGAGTGAAAGCGACGTCTTCGTGGGAATTTATTCTCCGTGCAGACCTAGCAAGTAGCTTTCGGGGTTCATATGCTCTATATCTTCGTAAGAATTTATTCTTCGTGTCAGGCATAGAGAAATGTGTCCCCTCGAATTGAACTCGATCCACTTAAGTTTATAATAGACTAAGATTGATGGTTTGACAGCCCAAGGGGGCATTAACAAGGACAATTAGGGTACCTTTACTCTTAGAACTGAAACTCTGCATATAGTAAACCTTAGAAACTCTTCCGATCTGAAACCATAACGAAATTTTGTTTAAAATAGGTATACACAAATGATAAATACTTTTGCATTTATTTATTTCTTTCTTTCTTTGCTAAATAAATTGCATGTGAAGTTAAATTATAGTATTATTTAAGTATGCTATGTAGAAAGCATGTTTAAATAAAAATATTTGGGTAAATATTAAATTAAATTTTTCCTTATTTGAACTAATTCATTTTTTTATGTTTTTCTTTTATTTTTATTGTCTGCATGGCATTATACAGGATTAAAGGTATTGATCTTCGAGTTAATCATCTCATTAGAAAACCTTCATCTATGGATAAAAAGTGTTCAAATCAAATAGCTCCAAACTCAGAAGTAAGACAGTGGTCTGAAGAATTACAAAGACAGGGGGGAGACAGTTTGCAGAATGATTATGTACCAGAGTTAGCAAGTTATGCTCCAGTTTCTCTAAAAAGAAATGATATTCAAGATCTGTAAGGTATTTGGGAGAGTTGGGGCTCAAACAAAAAGCTGCAGTTCTATCACTGTTACGGGGATATCCCATATTTGCTATATGTCGAAGTTGATGATGAATTACTTCGAGCCATGATTCAATTCTGGAATCCAGGGTATAATTGTTTCACTTTCAATAAAGAAGACTTGGTTCCTACTATTAAAGAGTATACAATTTTGCTACATATAGAAAGGGCTTTGGAGAATCGAATTTATTCAAGGTCAATCAAAACTCAACCTTTTCGAGTTAAATTAGCGCAGATTGCAGGAGTACGAGAGGAATGGGTAATGGCCCGTACAAAGCAAAAGGGCGAGGGCGAAAGCATTTCTTGGACCAACATCAAAGAAATCATTCAGAGTCATACAGATGATAAAGTACGATTTGATCTCTTTGCTCTAGGTATATATGGTATAGTCATCTTTCCGAAAGCATTGGGATATAGTGAGGCTGCAGTAGTAAATTTATTCGAGCAGTTACAAAAAAGGGTCAATCATGCTTCTGTAATTCTAGCAGAAACCTTTCGATCATTAAGCGCTTGTAGAAAACTTGGAGGTGGACGATTTTTTGGATGTACACAATTATTATATGTTTGGATTCATAGCCATTTCTGGATGACAGAAAAGGTTTCATACTGTCGCTTTATTACGGATTACTCACCTTTGAAAGAATTTCTTGAGCAAGAATGGCCGAAAGAAGTCACAAAAGACATATGGATAAATGTCATTCAAAATCTGCAAAGCAATGACATTGTTTGGCGCACCCCGTGGCAAGTACAAAGTGAGTTCTTTTATAAATGTGGTGACTACAACTGGGTAATGATGCTCGGTTTATGGGGAAGAATTGGATATGCACCACTTCTAGCTATAAGGTAGTACGAGGGTCGTCAATTTGTTCTCGTTACTGTTGGATTACATTCATCTGAGTTTGCATTTCATAGCAAAAATTACAAAAGAAACATCATGGATGTCGTTACAGCTTGGAAAACAACTTTCTGTATTCGAGCCAAAGAAGCGAAGGTAATGTTAACTCTTGATTATGAGGAATGGAGGTTTGTCAGGAAAAATGAAAATATTCCTCTGCCAGACCAAAATGAGGATATCTCTATGGAAGATCGTATTCGGGCAGTTCTATCAGAGATTGAAATCTTAAGAGCTAAATTTGAAGCAGAAAGAGAGGGTTGGTCGAAAGAGTTAGAACAAATGTGACAAGATAAACCTATGTTCGGCGTCGATGTTGACTTTCATTCCACACAATGTGCAATGCTGAGGGAAAACAAAGAAAAAAGTAGATGGTGAGTTCAAAACGTTAAAAAAGAATTAACATGAGCTGTAAAAATCCCGAAGAGCATCAAGATCAAGCAGAGCAACAACACATATGACCAAAGAGTTGAATATTGAGAAATACCGAGTTAAAGATTTGAAAGGAAAAAATAGCCATTTACTCAAAAGCCTTGAGAAAGGAAAGCAGAAAATGGAAGATCTTAAGGTTGACAAAAGGGAGCGAATTATAAAGCACAAAGCAGAAAGTCGTGAGATTATGAATGAAATGAATAAAGAAAGGGATCGAGCCAAAGAATTAGAAGATTTGAAGAATGACATTCTGGAGGGAATTGAGGTTGAGAAAAACACCATGTTCAAGGGATTTGAGATTGAAATGAATAATATGATTGTTGAACTTGAAATTAGGGGCCAAAGGATTGAAGAGTTCGATGTTGAAAAAGGAAAAATGGGATTTGGAGAGAAAGAACTTCAACACCAGACTTGAAGTAGAGCAAGAAGTGGCAAGCACTTGGATGCAACGATGTAGAAACAAGAATGTGCAAATCCAAAAGCTTAATCAAAGAACACAAGAAACACAAACAAAACTTGAAGAGAATTTGGATTTAAGGCTTACATATTGCAACTTGAAGAATCATTATTGTAACATCCCAAAATACAGGTTAGTGACTAAATTGTAAAACTTCAGAGTATGGTGATCAAAGTAGAATACTTGTACAGTTAATGGTATCAGAGCTAAGGTTTAGTCGATTCTCGGCATAAACCGGAGTCTTGAGTGTTTTATAAGGTATACATGCCAACAAAATAGTGAAAACTTCTGATCTGATGGAATAGTAAGTGTACTGTCTTGCTAATAGAATTAAAATACTATGTTATATTAGACGTATGATCATAAGAATTTCTAAAGTGAAATACAAGGCGATAGACCTGAAGGTAATAGTATTCACCTGCCTTGGCCAGGCAGGGAGAATAGCGAAAACCTCAGGGAATGCCTGTATAAGATTAGAGAATGATTCATGATGTTGAATGAATGTATTGAAAAGAGTGGAGAACACCCGAGTTCAAGGGTGAATTTGAGAAATGTTCCATTGTTATGGAAATTTGATTAAATAGTAGTAAGATAATATTAGAAAATTTTCATTTCTCCAAAGAGGAGAAGTTAAATTGAGTAGTTTTGTTACTACGTAGATAAGCTAGAAGTATGGTGAACAAATGTCACCATAAGAATGTTAAAATATCAAGTGATGTGGTTATCATTTGTAGAAGAATTTATGAATAAGTACATGAATGATCAGTTCATAAAACAAATGAAGCTCTAATATATGAGATTAACAAAGAAGTTACACATACATGTGTATGAGTAAAAGTTTAATAAATTAAACAGATTTATTGTTGTGTTGATTTTGATTAGGAATGATAAGGAAGAACATATGATTGGTTGTTTAAGGCTTGCGCCTTAAATTAAAAGATTGATATGGGTTTTGAAATTGTTCTCATTTCTATAAATGGTTAATCGCGTTAAATCTCTAGAGAGAGTTAAGAATAAAAGGATTGGACAACAAAAATTTTAGATGATTAAGAGAATTAGTGTTTTATAGAGTTAAGCACTATCAAAGAAAGATAGAGATTCTGGTTTTCAACTTTAAACCATATATGAATTAGTTGTTTTTTCCACCAGAGAATCAAATCATATGAGAGTCCGACAGACTCAAGCAGTAGGGTTTGATCTTGAAAGATTAAATAAGGAGTTAATTGATAATAAGTCAGGGTTAAAGACAACCTTTGTGAATTGGGTTAAAAGCTATGTTAGAAGTTATGAAAATTGAAGCAGAAAAATTAATTGAAAATATTATATATGATTGAGTGGATAAAGGTTGTACCCGAGATTAAAAGTTAAAGATTTCGTTTAAAAATTGAATGTGCTATTAAATAATGTTAAAGGATATCCACTATTTTAAAGTGGAGAATTTAGATGAGATAATTTAGTTGCTATGCGGTTAAGCTAAAATATGGTAAATAAATGTTATAATGGAAGACTTATTGATGTGAATATTGATGTGAACATTTGTTCAGTAATTATTTTATAAGATAGAAGATGTTGAAATGTTGAGAGTGAATAAATAAAATTTCATAATGCATAAGAATGAATGTGAATTTTGATAAGTTAAGTAAACTATTTTTGAGATAATTCTGATTGGAAAAGGGGTATATGATTAATAAATTGGGACTTGTGCACTAGATTAAATAGTTGTTATTGACTATCTGTAAGAGTAAAGGTGATAGAGTTAAAAGATTGGAAGAAAAGATAAAGTGAATTAATCAAGTATATGGATTTGAATATGGTTAGGTATTTGGATCCTATAAATATATGATTAAGACAATGAGAAGAGTATTTACAGGTTTTAAAAAAAAGAAGCGCTTTGAGGAATAAAGATACAAGTATAAAAATGATAAAGAATAAAGTTATGTGCTAGTAAAGATGACTATCCAAATCATGAAAATGTGACAATGAGTGATAGTTAAGGATAAATATATGTGATATATAAGAGCATGTGAGTATAAAGGACATGATATGATTTAGTTATGTATAAGATAATACTAATTATAAAAAGGTAACTGGAATGGTTAATTTTGAACCAAAGAAATCGTATTATGAATGAGTGAGAATGAAGGTTTGATAAGTGAAGAAATTAGAGAATGAATTATTTTGAAAAAAAATATATATATATACAAAAATAGATGGTTCGATGAAAGTTTACGTTTTAATTGAAAGAATAAGTGGGTCAATAAAGTAATGTAATAGTGAATGTATTAAGTTAAAAGGATAAAAAGGGATAAGTATAAATGACATGAAAAGAAGGTAAAAGCAAAATAGGAAAAAAAATAATGAAAGAATTAAAGTAATAAAGTGAAGGTTATGATAGCATAAAAAAATTATTGAAAAGGTGATACGTGAAAAGGAATATTATGCGTGTAAATAGTATTGTGTATAAGCAAGAGTGTGAATATGATAAGAGGTATTACGAAATTTTTATCTAGGTGTTTGACTTGTCAACAAGTCAAAGCTGAGCATTAGGTTCCATCGGGAATGTTACAACTAATTTCAATTCCTCAGTGGAAATGGTAGAATGTAACGATGGATTTTGTAACGGGGTTGCCTTTAAATCTGAGCAAAAGAGATTCAATATGGGTGAGTGTAATTTTTATTGTACTTATATTATTGAACGAACATTGGCTTGCGATGAGCCAGTGATGGAGTTACTATGGTAAGAAGTGACTCCTAAATTGTTATTTGATTTGTAATTGTTATATGTGCATGAATACATGAAATGTGTATAGATTATTATAAATGTTACATGATATACATGCATACGTGATTATGCAATATGTAATATATGTTATATGATATGCATAAACATAAGAGCATATAACATAAGATATGTGATCTATGCTATGAGACATGACCATGTGAAATGAGATAAGCTATGTGAATATATGAAATGACATATGAATATGGAATATGTGATACATGTGATATGATATGAAATACATGGTTACACATACATGTGGTATGTGACAGAAGAGAAAGAATAAGTGATGAGAAATGTATTCATCATAAATGCCCATAGTATATGATACGAGAGCTATAGGTATAGTTGGCATGCCAAGAGTCGAGGGTTCTGTAGTCCTTCGGGACGTAGTCCTTCGGGACGTAATGGTCCTACGGGACATATATAGCAGTCCTTCGGGACGAATACTGAACAAATGTTCGGT